CCCGGCCTTCACCCCCCCCCGCGCATGAAAGGCATCAGAACGCCGCCGTATGGCTTCCGGAAGAGCATTGATCCGAATCTTAAACTCGTCGTACTCTCTCTTAACCCGCCGCCGATCCCGGACGAAATCCGTCCGCACCTTATTCTTGTACGGATCGCGCTTCAGCCCGAAGTAGCTCTCCGGGTTGCGCGGCTCGATGGCGTGCTTGCGGCAGAACGGCACCCAAACGGAGGCGAACGATGCGGCCTCGGCCATGGCTTCGAAGGTGAGGAGGGCGCCGCCATCGTCGGAGATGTAGCACGAGAGCTTCTCGATGGGGTAGTCGGCGGCGAGGATGGAGAGGATTGTGTTGGCGGTGACGAGAGGAGGTTCTTTCTCGGGGTCGGCTGTGGAGACGAAGACGTCGACGCCAGGGAGGTCGGATTTGCCGGTGGGGTTTTGGGGGGAGGGGGATTCGAATTTGTCTTTGAGGACTTTGAGGTCGGTGATGCGGTTGACGGGGGAGAGTTTGGGGAGCTGGTCGAGGAGCCATGAGAAGGCGAACCAAATCTCGCAGACGACGGACATGCCCCATAGCCAGATGGCGTCGTGGTTCTTGTGAGTGATGCGCCATGCCAGAAACAAGCCGAGGACCCCCATGCGAATTATGATCAGCAGCCTGTATGTTCGCAAGAGGAAAAATTTCAACTTTGCAGGTATACATGGAAAAGAAGAAGAATGATACAAAAATTGGTTTGAGTATAGCCAATGGGCAGTTCAATAATGTGGCGTCATGTGTCAAGTAGGCCCTATCAAATTAGCCGGTGTCAAAAAATTATAAGGCCCACTTAACAGGTGACTCCTCTCCGCTCCGCATGTAATTTTTTTTAGTTTCTATGTAATGGAAAGGAAGAGCTTTATCATGAAAAAAAAAAAGGTAATTTTAGGGGTTTCCTAGCTTTAGTTGATGATGAAGAGAAAGAAGATGGACATGTTTGACTGCATTTTTGAGTTTCAGTAATTAAAGAAGGACTATCATGAGTTAATGTTACAATGCAATACTCCTATTCCAAAGCATATTCAATAAATTGTATTTCAGTAGAAGAATAGAATGGACGTCAAATAAGTTTATCTTCATTAAAGCAATATCCAATTTTTAATAGTATTTAGACATTTGGTTTCAATCATTTGTCCAATTTGACTGTTTGTTGTGCGTTGAAGCGGTTTCAGTTCCTTCAAATGGTGTACACTACTTCTACGCTACTTTGTTATCTACGTCATGTAATTAAAAATTAAAATAAAATAAAAGAATGAGCACCTCTTCTCCGTGCCAACCAAACCTATTTATCATGTATAATTAGTTATTAAATATTGAATTTGTCGTTAAGCACGAGTTTCAAGACCACCTGCCATTAGCCATTTCACCTAAAGATTTTCAAGGAGCTGATTAATTTTTATAAAACAATCATTTAAAATAGTAAATATAACTTTTAATCACTTACATTTTAAATATAACATTTTAATCATTTAAAAATTTTATATAAAATCTTCATATGTTATTTTTAGGAGGGTAATTATATATAAAAATAATTAAAATTTTATTTTTAAAATTTAAATGATTTATATTTAACATTTTAAATAGTTGAAATGCAAAAACTGCCCTTTTAAAAATGATATCGATAAAGCGGCAAAAAAAAAAAAAAAAAAAAAAAAAAAAAAAAAAAAAAAAAAAAAAAAAAAAATTGAAGTAAAACAAATAAAATTCATAATCTAGCTCTGCATGCAGCACAATCTCACCGGTAAGGACTAAGAACTGCAGCCGGAATTCTTAGCTTTCTAGTCAGCGGCCGCCATGCCTTACTTATGAGCTCCTTGGCCGGCGCCTTCTCCGCCACGCTCCCATCTGCACCACCTTCGCCGTCGCCGCTTCCGTCGCTTTCAACTGCTTCCTCCGGCCAAATCGCATTCCCATACCCGTAAGTCCCCTTCGTCTCAAACAACCACCGATTATGATCAAAGTCGCCACCTTTCATCGATCTCACCACCGACAACCTCCTATCCATTATCACCTCTTCCTTCGGCGGAGGCGCCGGCAACCGGCGCACGGCAATCCCCTTCTTTTCCCTCGCAATCCTGGCTACCTCATCCAAATCCGTCGCCTTGTATGGCTCCTTGCATCCGGGACACACACTCCTCCCGTTTCTTACCGCGTCGTCGAAACACTCGCGGCAAATTTTGTACTCGCACTCGCAGGGAAGAAGCGCCGCATTCCGCTCATCGCGCATCACCTTGCCGTCGCAGCCTTCGACGGCGCAAATCAGGGATTTTGTTGCGGCGTCTACAGCCGCAGGATCCGAATCCGTCATCTTGTCCATGAGATGGGCGCGCGTGACACTGTTGAAGCCTCCGGTAAAGAGCGAGCTGGAGACGTAGTGCTCCTCGATCTTGGAGGAGACCAACGGGTTGATTGGTTCCATTGAGACTGATAGAGGTCCGTTGTCCGGCGTCATGGGAAACTGAACCCGGTAGTTACGGAAGTCCACGCTGCTCATGTCGTTCTCCACATCGCCGAACGTCATCCTTGGCGGCGGCGGAGGCGGCGGCCCCCTGTTCTTCTTCCCCAAAAACATCGTTTCCGACGCCAAAGCTGTGTTCTTTGCGACTTGTTCTTTCTCTTTTTACCAAAGATCAGAACTTTTTGAAGATTACGCGGAGTAAAAAGAATGGAAAAGAAATCTCCGAGGATTCATCTCTTTCTGAAGTGAGAACAGGAGAGGAGGTGACGCTACGTGGGGTTCAATCGGAGCAAGGAAGTAGTATATATGTAAGAAAGGTGACCTTTTGTTGCTTGCAAGCGACGGAGAAATACAGATTAATGGAGTGCAGCTGGATCAAAGGAAAGTCAGACTGGGTCCAAGAGACGGATAGTATGTAGCCATGGAATGGCCGTCATCAAGATGTCATTTTTAATTGGTTTTAACGAAACAGCGCTTTCGGAAGAAGGCCGGCGAGGATTTGAAAGGACAGGAGGTTCGGTTCTCGCCGGCGCTTCAAGAACCGCGCACCAGCGGTTCACTTTTGAACCGAGATCGTGAAAAATCGGTTCGGGCATTGGACCGAGCGATTTCAATATGTTTTAAGAATAAAAGTTTAATTAACTTAGTATATAATAGTTTAAGGAAACAAGTGGCACTTGAATATTTTAAATACATTTTCTAAATAGAGCATGAAAATTTCAACTCCTTTTTTTACTATTAGTAATGTAAAATTTATATTATTAATCATAAAATCAATAGAAGAATGTAAAAAATTAATTAATCTTAGAATTAAGTAGTTAGTAAAAAATTAGTTTGATTTGTTAGTTCAACCTCAACTTTGTGATCCTAGTTCAAATTGATTAGAGAAGTGATTCAAAGTTTAAACTAGTTCACTAAGTGTTTGTTAAGAGTAGCTACAACGCTTTGAAGATGCAATTGTGGCGTAGCTATAGGAGAAGATATTGCGGGAAAATTGCTATTAGTGAAATTGTGCGTATGTTTATTAGTATCTGTTTTTGAAATAAAGAATGTATTACCCCTTATATTCACGTGTTGTTTTGTAAGTTAATCATTTCAAAATTAAGTCATACATAAGAACACAAAAAAAAATTCATATATTTTTAGAAAGTCACAATTCTAAAATATTATACTAAAAGTTATACATCACTTAACAACGAGTAATTAAAGTTTAAAATAATAATAACAATAATTAATATCATCATGATATTACTTTTAATGTTTAAAAGTTCAAATTTGTTGAAAAAAAAATTTCTTTCTAAAGTTACACTCTACATATGGTCACTATTTAAAGTGGATTTCTTAAACTTGTCGACCCATCTAAATAATTTTCAATCTTCAACTGAACCATTTTTGGGACACCTTTTAAATCTTTTCTCATAACTAGCTCCTCGTCGTGGTGTAAATACACAACAATGCAATTCGTAGTTGGAATATATAACTCTTGAGACAGTAGAAGCCCTTGAACTTATACTTCCTCAAAAACTAGAGTTTAATACATAAAATAAGCTTTTATTAATATTACAATGACATAATTACAAGAAAATTAAATAATAAGAAACATCCAAACTTCAATTCAAAATCATCCAAAATTATGATTTTAACAAACTTATAGTCAAACTAACTGACTCAAGCAGGTGAGCAAAATGACACTAAAGTTGGTCAAATCCGAGTCAAATCGAGCCCATATCGAGTTGTTAAGTCATCTTTAAAATCTTTTTGTATCAATTGAAAAGTCAAATGAATTCCAAATATGATAATCATTTAATTGAATCAAGCGTGAATCCAAAAAACCCAATATCACTAAATTCTGACATTATCAAAACACTAGAATAATTAAAAATGGACACTCGATTAAGGGAACGTCTTTGGGTCGTCCGATGAAGTGCACCTAATTATTTTCTTATTCGCAGGGAGGTATCTCATAAACCCTATAAATTGAGCCTTACCTCCTTGATGAAAGTGAACCGGAGGAAGCCCAAAGCTTGGAAGATAAGGAACTTATGTCCAATGTTTTACACCAAAGTTTCAACGAACATCGTCCGCTTTTGCAGCGGTTGACGACCTTCGACCATCACTCGTATGCTACCTTCAACCAACAGCTACCACCCCCTACTTATTACAACAAAACTCCTTGCAAAATTACGACGAGTGTTGCTTAATCCTGGCACATGTTGCGAAATAAAAAGCACCCGACGGAGCAGCACGTCGTCCTGAATACAACGCAACAACACACCTCGAAGATGGTGTTTGAAGTTTGGTAATTGCTCCTAACTATAATCACTCCGAACACTGTGTAACAAACTTTATACCTCAAGAAACTGTGTAGTCATTTCTCGCATGTTGGACAAGAATATATATGTGTACTCACAAATTCTCAGTGGATTGTTCTGACTGGTCCAGACCATATGATTTTTTTTTTACTTTTTGAGTTTTCCACGTTAAAACTTCCGGTCTGCCTGCTTATCACTTAATTATTAGATTTTTGTGCAATTCTAACACATTAAATAATCATTCTACCGCATCAAATCTTTTGGTACACATCAAATATATTTACATCATGGTGGTGATGGTCATCCATTGGGACGCAATTAATGGATTTATGGCGGTGACAACCAATGTGATGATGGTGGTGGTCAATGACTGTGGTGATTGATCATGGCAGTGGCCAAAAGTGATCGTCAATGATGATAGATAGTGTTTAACAATAACAACGACAACAATTATGCGCCAAAGGGGCAAAATAGCAAGCAATTGTGACTAACAACTGTGTTTAATTATAATAGCACTCAACATATTCCAAAATTATTTTAAGCGTTTTGATAAACAACTTTTAAAGAAAAAATTATCAATAAAAGTAGTTAAAAATATAAAAATTAAATATTATTTGACGAATAATAAAATTTATACCAAACATGCCCCAAATAAAAAAAAGACTCGGCGATGGCTGACCATACGTGAAGGCTAAAAAAGTGCCGCAATTTCTCCAACAATTTCATTCGGAGCCCTTCTTGGGTTCACAAAAACAACTATGGAAGCCTAAGTGCCGTTTCAATGAATGAGTGCCATATGGCTTAAAAGTAACGCAGCCAACCCTTTCCTTTCACTGCTCTTTGGGGCAGCTGCAGCTTATTGAATAATCTGTTGGTAAATTCATTAAAAATAATTTGCTGATAAGTTATGTGTAGTGGTTATTACAAATTTTTATTTTTTTAGAAAAACCAGACCGTTGTCAGAAAGCTGCGGTGTGAAACCGCTATTTTCAGCATTTTGAAAACATATAAGCTGTCAAAACGCAGTTTACCCAAACAAGACAGGTGCGTTTTCAAAATGTCACTGTACCAAATAATTGTAGGGGAATTGTTTGTTACTTGCTCGATACAAACGAGTCCATTTTTACAAGGAAAATGGTAAAATAGCTATATTCAGAATTTAATTAATAAGTTGGACGTTCAAAGACTGCACTTGAAGTTTAAACTTTGTTCAATGTGCAGCCAAATGTCAAATATTGTCGAATTCAAAATTGTCCGGGAAACATATCCAAGATATAGAATATTAGAGAGAGAGATAGAGAGTGAGTGCAGTAGAGAATAACAATGATATTACCCTCTTATTTATATGAATAATTTCAAATTCTATAAAATTACATTTCAATCCCTTCACCATTAGCCTTTTAGAGAGATCTTTTGGTAATTACAAAAATATCCACATGTAATAAGACCAGAAGGCTGATTTGGTCGATAAGAAGCTCGCCCGCAGTTCGTTGTAACTTGAGCCCACCGATAGTTGGTCCAAAAGAGATGTTTCTTGCCGATCGTCTTGAGAACCAATCGCCACCCTTCGAGAAATTCCTTGGTACGTTACTCCGATCGCTAGAACCAGATGTCTCATTTGCCAGTATCTAACCCAAACAATCATCAAAAGCCTTGTTTAATCGTTTGTATCTTCCATCCAAGCTGCTCACCTGTCTTGAGATCTGTGCTGACTTATTTTTCCTATACAAATATTTATAGTGTTAGTTTATAGCATTAACTACTATCTAATATTTATATATGTATCTATATATATATATATA